CGTACCTGAGCCGCAGTCCGTCTGCCAGTGTGTCCCAGCAGAGGCTGGGTGCCTCTGGGCCCTACACAGCACTCAGGAGGCTGGAGCATGCACATGACCGTGGAGAGGATGTGGAAGTGGGTGCTTCATCTCTGGAGGAGGTTCCTTTTCCAGAATGGTGAAGTGCAGTATTTTCAGACCTTTTTTTTTTCCCCTTTGGAGTCCAGGATTTTTAAAACTACAGCCCACACCCAGACCTGAATTTGAATCTCTCCGGTTTAACTCCATGTGATTAGTAATGCCAGTCCAAACCCTCACAAGAGCAGTGCTGGTTTGTTGTGTTCTAAAGATATTGGAGCCTGGGGGAGTCTGGAAAGAGTTTCTCTTCTGCTTGTGTAACCTAACTGATCTTGGATGTGACAGTTTTGAAGGGGTCACTGTTTGGCATAGCTCAGGAACTTGATCATGGAAGTAAGGCACTTTCCTTTCTTTGTTTTTGGAGACAGGGTAACATAACCCAGGCTGGCCCTGGACTCCTGATCCTTCTACTTGCACCCCTAGGCCCATTTTACGCAGCGCTGGGATGGAACCCAGGGCTTTGTGGAGTATTCAGCAAGCTCGCTACTAACTGAGCCTCATCACCACCCTCAGAGTTTTATAGAGAAGGAAACCCTGTTGTGAGGGTTGTCATCAAGTTTAATGTTGAGCTAGGTCAGATGCGGTCCCGGTCCAGATCTCCAGGGTTCTTAAGCAAGGTGTTCAAAGTCTGGGAGGGGCCTGCGGCTCAGATCTGATCCTAGGCTTGGCTTCAGATGGAACAAGCTGCCACTGCAGAGGTCTCCTTCAGCCCTGCTGCCCCATCTCAAGCAGGGGTTAGAAAGCAGTGTGAAATGTTGAGTAGGCAGCCTTCTGTGGGCTAGCCTGGCCTATGCTCTCTTAAAATTCATTGCAAGTCTTTTAAGTGTTTTTTAAACCTGCATAACGGGTCCTAGGAGGGCTGTAAAAACAAGAGAATGTGACTTTCCCTGGCTGAGACCAGGGTTTCTCTGCCTGTCACTAATGTCTAAGCATCTTGCTTCTGCCTCTCATCAGACCCATTTCTGTCCTATTGCAGGTCTTTTTGTGGAGCATGCGGTCCTACACACTAATCCGGAAACTAGAAGGCCACCAAAGCAGTGTTGTCTCTTGTGATTTCTCTCCTGATTCCGCCTTGCTTGTTACAGCTTCGTATGACACCAGTGTGATTATGTGGGACCCCTACACCGGCGAGAGGCTGAGGTCACTTCAGTAAGGACCTTGTAGGGTTATGCACGTTACCTTGGAGTCTGGGATGGGGAGGTACAGCCTGGATGGTTGGAAGAACGCGGTTGGCTCAGTGCTTTTCTGTGTTGAGTTCTCTTCAAGTCAGACGGCACCAGTGGCTGTTCCCACCTGTTAACTGAGTGACTCCCATCAGAGCTGTGCCCTCCACTGTAAATCCTCCTGCCCTCACAAGCTCGCTCCACTTTCTCCTGTTCCTGTTGTTTCAGAAGCAAATGATAGTAGTTCTATAATTATCACAGAGCCGTTTAAAGTCGGTTTTCACTGTGGCGTTTAAGTGGAGCTGACCTACTTTACATAAGGAAATTAGCACAAGGAAGTGTCGGGAACCCTTCTGACATCTCGAGACACTTGGAGCCTTCCAGGGACATTGTTTTCCAGTGTGCACTTGCTACAGTTTTACACACGTACTGGCCAGAGCATTTGCTGTGCTGCCTGTGGGTGAGGTTCTGGGGGAGGGAGACCAGCATTCCAGACCTACTGTAATTTCTTTGTAGTCACACTCAGCTTGAGCCTGCCATTGATGACAGTGATGTCCACATGAGCTCCCTGAGGTCTGTGTGCTTCTCACCTGAAGGCTTGTATCTTGCTACAGTGGCAGATGACAGGTAAGGAGGGACTGCGTGAGCTTAGAGCCAGCTGCCTTAGAGCTGGTACTCGCTGGTACTGGCAGGCCCTCCCTCACTGACCCCCAGACCAGCTCACATGTCCACTTCTCTCCCTTCCAGGCTCCTTAGGATCTGGGCTCTGGAACTGAAGGCTCCGGTCGCCTTTGCTCCCATGACCAACGGTCTCTGCTGCACATTCTTCCCACATGGTGGAGTCATAGCCACAGGGTATGTGTCTGCACTGAACAGACGGGCGCAGTATCGCCCGTGTACACCAGGGAGAAAGTGTCTACAACAGTAATGTCAGTTACAGACGTTAGTAGTCAATGCAGATGCAGGGAGAGACCCGTATATGGTCCATGTTACCTGAACGGCCAATTCCACAAGGAGGCAGAAGGTGAGGGGACGCCATTTGTATATGGGAAGTCTACAGCTGAGGTCACTTTCCCGATCACGTCTGTAATCGGCAGTGGTACATGGCTGTTACTGGGTGAGCTCAGGGCCTTCTCATACTAGGCTCATGTCATGAAAGCTGATTTTGTTGTTGTTGTTTTGGAGTCTCAGAACTCACTAGAGTTCCTGAGTTTAGGTTCTCTCCCACTTTAATCTTATGAAGCAGCTGAAATCACAGGCATGGGTCACATCCTGGGCTCTAGGAATCCTACCAAATGGCAGTCATTGCCCAGCAGTTTGCAGCTTTTCCCAGTCAGGTACACCCGAGCTTCCAGAGCCTCCGGTTCAGGTCAGCCCAGAACCACCTCTGTCTGTTGTAATGAAAACAGCTCTCGGGGCTGCTAAGCACTGGTCTCTGTTGTTTCAGGACGAGAGACGGCCATGTCCAGTTCTGGACAGCTCCCCGGGTCCTGTCCTCACTGAAGCACTTATGCAGGAAAGCCCTCCGAAGCTTCCTGACCACGTATCAAGTCCTAGCACTGCCAATCCCCAAGAAGATGAAAGAGTTCCTCACGTACAGGACTTTCTAGCAGGGCCAGCCACTCCACCTCCTGCAGCAGCAGCAGCAGCAGGGACTGGCTAGGATGGAGCCAGGCAGCTCCCACTGGACCAGTGTGGGCTTTCCTCCTATGGCATGTGCAAGTAGGTCTGAGTGACCCCACGTCCGTGGTGCCGGCCTTACCTCGTCTTCGTCCGTTGTGAGCAGCCTTTGTGAGTCAGTCTAGTTGTGTTGAAGCCAAGTGCAGTTGTGGATGGTGTGGGTAATGAAAGCAAGCAGGCTCCAGAGCCTTTCTGGTGGTGGCCAAGTCCACACTCCCTTCACTGGGACGTGCCTGCCACGTAGGGCAGTGCCTGCTGCCTGTTTCCGGTCAGCGGCTGCATGGTTTGAAGTTCCTCTGCTGTGGTCAGAGGAACTTGGGTGTTTGGTTCCTTACTCAGCTGCACGTGGACTGGGCTGTGCTCCTGACCACACACTAGGACCGGCTTTCCTTCCCTGTAAACCGTGTGTGCATGTGTAGGGAATGACAAGCGAGTATCAGCTCATCCGAGGAGGTGCTCCTCACCTGCATGACGGTCAGATGGCCATTATCAGCATCATATTTATTGTATTTTCTCAGCAGATGTTAAGGTACAACTGTGTTTTCTCAATTGTCTCTAAGAACCAGAGTTCTTAAGTGGCCCAGCTGTGGCACCAAGTCTTAGTTGTGTGGAGTCAGTGCTGACACCACTGGCTCGTGCTGTCACGTGTTTGTCACTGCTGCTTGACCTCAACGGGATTCACCCTCCAGTTCCAACTGCCCAAAACAGACAGACCCTTCCAAGCACCGTTCTTTGACAGCGGTAGCAGCTACCTATTCAAGACGCCTCACACAAAGTCTGCCTTAGGAAAGTTAATATATTTTAAATTATTTTAAAAGAAACTCAACATCCTATTCTTTGGCCTTTCTTAATTGAAGCTCTATGGAGGCAGTGCTAACATTGTACAGTGTGTGCATAGAGGAGTCTCCTCTAGTATGTGAAGAACATTGCAAAATGAGGCTTTCATTGAAGGGAGAAAAGAGGAAAAAACAAAAAAAGCCTGTCTCTGTTCTCTTTTTTTCCTCATTAAATAAGAAGGAAAAAAAATCCTTTAGACCAAGCACAAAAGGAGAGGGAGACACCAGTGGCTGCTCTACCATGTGGCTTGAGATGCTGACTCCAACACTGGCCACTTGGCTGCAACTTTGAAACTTGGGGAGCAAGCAAGCTCTCCATGAACAAGAAAATAGATTTCTCCCTTTGACAGTGCATGCTGACAACATCTCCCGAGATGCATCTTACTTAAACAGCACGGTATCCGGGGGCTCTCCAGTGTCGCAGCTGGGGCTCCTCATCTAGCCCAAGGGAAGTTTGGTCCCAAGGTAACCGCAGTTCCTAGAAGGAACAGTCTCTAAGGAATTTATTATTCTGTGACACCAGCCTTAACAGAAATGCAGGTGGACAGGCCAGCACAGATTAGAACACTGAACACTTTATTGTTCCTGTGAAGGCTGTGGTATAAATACAGCCCAGCGGCATGGCGGGAATGTTTGCAGTGCCCCATCCCTCCCCAACACTTGAGGTGTTCAGTCTGATGGCGAGCTGTGCTGTAGTTTCTTTTCTGTTTTCGTAATAGAATTTGGAACTGCTGGCAAGCCTTCGCAGAGTGGGAAAGACTCTGCTTTGTGTCCGAGACAGGCTCTGTCTGTCTCACTAGGCTGGCCTGCAGCTGTCTGGGAATTCTGCCTCAGCCTCCTGAGGTTATATGCATGGTAGTAGCACTTTGGCCAAAAGATGAATTTTGAAATTTTGTAACAAAATATTTAATCAGAAACTTACTAGCACCCATTTAGAGTTGGAAGACACTGACACATACTCACAATCTTGTCATTCCAGCAGCTGATAGTAAAGACTTTAAAGTGGCCTTCAGCATGGGGACAGGGTGTTCTCCCCATAGAAGACAAGCAGTGTGGGTCATAGCTGCTCTGCAGATCCCTGCTCCCAGCAGCCACGGAGAGCACTACCTAAATGCCTGAGGGGAGAGCCTTTTGTGATAGGTTTTATCCAGTGGCTCAGGGCAGCAAGTCCTCTGTCCTCCAGTCTCCGATGCACCTGAGGCAGGGCCAGGCCTTGGAACGTCTAGGCCTCTGCAACTATCAGGTCCCTGGTGACTTGAAAAGCAGCAATGAGGGAGCCCAGCTGGATCTTCTCACTGGTGCCAACAGAAAGCCTGTACCTGGGGAGGACAGTCCCAAGTTGAGTATAAGGCACACCCCAGGCCCTGCCTGTGAGGTGAGAATGTGGGAGCTGCTGCAGCCTGTACCAGCAGTGTCTGCAGAGACACTGGAGCTGACAGACCCACCCTGGTTAGCACTCTGCTGTGTCCTCCCAAGTTTCTCCCCAACACTCACTCAGCCACTTGATTGAAGCTGCCGAGGACACATTAGAAACCCAGCACCAGCAGGTTCTGAGTTGCACTCCATCCTCCCTCTTCCGACAGAGGGAGGAAGGGTGCATGGGATGAGGGCTTTCACTGCACGTTGCCTCTGGCTGTGGCACTGCAGCAAGGCTGGAGGTTGATGGCAGGGCAGGAAAGCAGGTCACCATCGGATCTCATCCTGTCACTTTTGAATGCCTAGCCACTGGGAGCAAAGCCACTCCCAACACAGTGATAGGAAATGACCTGCTTTTTCTACATGAGCTAGTGGCAGCCTATTGGAGCTTGTGATACTAGTATTTGGTTGGCGCCCAGTGTGCTGCACTTAAATGACAGCTGCCAGCGTCACTGGGGAGTAATGACAGTGTGAGAGCTGGGCAAAGTGAAAAACTGAGTCTGTTTGTGTTTCTCCACTGGGCTCCTGTATGCCACAGTGCCTTAGCAAGCAGAGTAGCTGGCCGCCTCCAAAGACTCGCATGCCCAGTGTGAGGGCGGCCACGCAGGGTCCACTCTGTGCTCATCCTCTGCATCATCTGCCCTGTGCTCTGGTGGCAGCACACAGCCTTCTCCACAGTGCACTTGGCACTACCCTAAACCACACTGTCCCATATGGGAATGGTACACAAGCTGAAACTAAAAAGCTTACAACAGGAGAGGGGACAGAAAAAGAATGAAACTGGGGAAACACTCACTCGATGTCTGCCATTTTGGTCAATAAATGTATCCGGACTGAAGATGGAAAATCAACTGAGGGAAAAACAGAATCACATGAGTGAGATCACCTGGCACACACGGGACTTGTGGCAAGGCTGAGCATCCCTCAGACCAACTGCATCAAGTCACCAGAGTGATACGCTGAGCATGGTCAGGCCCAGGCTCCTTATCACACAGGCTGGGGTGCAGCTCAGACAGTTAGACCTCACAAACACATAAACATACACATGGTCCCATCCCCAGCGGTCACAGAACAAGGACAAGTCAACACTGTTTGTAGTGGGTGACAGCTATACACTAACCGGAAAGCTCACATTACCCAGTTTAGAGGACAAACTTAAGCAACAGATTCCACACAGGCTCACAGTACTGGGAACCTGAGAGGTGGCTGCTGGGAGAAAAGCTTCCAAAGGCTATGTAGAGGGCCCCAGGGGAGCCTCTTCTGAAGGCTGGCACCTTTCTATCCCCTTGCTTCACTCTGATCTTCTGGGGTGATCTGATTCTGCCCATGCTGATACTGATCCCTCGAAGAAGGCAGTAAGCAGGAACTTACAGGCAGCTTCCTGAAGACTGCCTAGTTGACAGGAACACATCTTTCCCCTTCATGGGATGTATCAGACTGCGACTTAGAAGCCGGAGAGCAGCTTGGCAGTCTGCTGCATGCTTTAAGGATACATCCATCCCAGGTGCAGACACAGAACAAGGTCTGAGATACAGCCCAGTGGTAGCCCACATCCCTCACATGTACAAGGCCCTGGATTCAATCCCTGGTGTGGGGAGCGTGTAACAAGAATGAAAACCATAGTACTTTCCCTTGAGGAGAGAGCGTCTACGGGGTCATTACTGCTCATCCTGACAGCTCTAAATAATAACAAGGGGTTGGGACAAACCCATTCAGAACTGCTCAAGATTAAAGGTCACCCTCTTCCTGTTTCTGCTCAGGAGCACAGACCTCACTCTCTGTAGCCACCCCAAGCTGCGCCTCCTCTCCGCTCCGGTTACCTCTGTGCACAAACAAGTGAACCTCAGTCAGGATGTCGTGCAGCGCCAAGCCCTTCAGAGTCTTCAGCTCCATGATATCTAGGGAGGAGCAGCTAAGGTGAGGGGAACCATTCCAGAACATGCTGCGGGGAGGCTGTGACGACAGACCCTGGTGGTGACCTGGAAATCGGGCTCTTTATCCCAGTAAAGCTGCACACAGGCCCAATTCTAACTCCACCCATGTTATCTTCAATAAGGCTTTTCTAGAAAGTGCAGCCCCGTCTCAAGAGAGCAGAGCAAACAGCTCCTTAAAGGCTCACACAGGCACCTGTATTTCATCTCACTGCAGAACAAGGCAATGAGTCCACTTTAACAACTGTGAACAGAGAGAGGCTACCTACAGCCTCGCTCATTTGGGCTAGAGCCACCGAGGAGAGGGCACTCTGCTTGGGGACACCTGCTCCCCACCAGCTGACACCTGTCACCTGGGGAGTATAGGTGTTGGCCGCAGCCTGGGCTTCTGGCCACCCTGAGGCCTGAACCTAGCAGTAGTCACCAGAAAGGATACTTTTGTAGGCAGTGGTGAAGTCTTGATTCAGCATCCAGTCCAGAATGTTGGCAATGTCTGTCTTGAGTGGGTGCCCGGTGCAGGTGTAGACAGTCTCCTCGGTCACCTTCCCAAAGGCCATGTTGGTACTCTGTAGGAGGAGGGCCCCGGGGCTGTCAGCAGCTGCCCTGCCACGGTGACATGGCATAGGCCGGGAACAGTGGGAATGCTGTACTGTCCGGACTCCAAGGGCTGCCCTCCGCTGCAAGCACTACTGCCACGCGGGGGAGCTACAGCACCCTCCCACAGCTGAGAGCAGCACTGAGCCTTCCCACTGGAACACAGGCAGGGAGTTGGCGCACCACAGGGTCAGTCTTACTAGGTTTCTGAATAAATGTATGGATTAGCTGGTTGTCTTTCTTGTAAAACTATTTTGAAGCAGTGATTTGAAGTGCCTGCAGTGTGATCGTACCTGCAGAATGTTCAGAGCCCTTCGCATGTCCCCACTGGACAGAGTGACAAGGGCCTTCATCCCATCTTCACTTATGTCCACACTAAAAGGAAACAGGCAAGAGTTAACTAAAGCCCCTTCTGCAAAGAGCACAAACTTCATCAACCACATGAACCTTAAATGATAAAGCTGAACCTTAAATGATCAAAATGAACCTTAAATGATCAAAATAGAGGTGTCAGCCCTCTCCTGACCATCCAAGCTACTGCAGTGCTTAGGGACGTGTGTCACAGGAGTAGCCAGGCCCAGACAGTTTTACTATGGACCAAGGCTTCAAGGAAGTGGCTGCCGAGAGAGACATTTCTGGGAAGAAAGGGTACAGCTCAGCATCTCATCACCCAGGATGGATGTCTGAGTCCTCCCTTCTAGCCAGCTGGCAGCATCGACCAAACAGACTCGCCAACAGTCAGTTCCCATGACAAAAGAGAGAACAGCCTGCAGGAATATACGTGGGGGTCAAGAACAATCAAAAGGGCCCAGGAGGCAGAACATCAGGGACCGCTGGAAATGACTGCAGCCAGCAGGCCCCAAGGCTTTCCCTGGGACTCAGCACTCCACCCAACCTCCCTGCCACTCAGTCCCCAAACCCTCCCTCTTCCTTCTTGTAAAGCAAACTCACTTCTCTTCTTGTACTACATGTTCCAGTCGCGGAACCATGAGCTCGGGGGTCAGAGGGCCGAATCGGAACCTCGTGCACCGTGACTGCAAGGCAGGGATGATCTTGGACAGGTAGTTACAGATGAGGCAAAACCTGGTGTTTTCCGTGAACTTCTCAATCACTGGGAGAAAAACCAAACACTTCACATGAGAGGACCCAGGGAAGGCTTAACCATACTAAGTGAGAACGCTGCCTGTAGGGGGAGGGCATTATGGGATATGAGCAACAGGTCAGCTCAACCATCATCCTGTGCAGACCTCACTCTGTCTATAGCCCACGCTGGGCTCAGACTCCAGGTGATCTCCCTGCTTCCATTTCTGGAGTACTTGGATTACTGGCATGAGTCACCACACCTACCTTACAAAGCTAGTAAATGTACCATTAGAGTGCACAAATGCAACTTTCTATGATCTGCCACAACTCGAGCACTCTTGCTGTCTCCTCCTCGAGATCTGGCCCTGGTCTGTCCAGGAGCTCCCCCTCCCTCTGGTACAGGATGCTGTCCGATGTTGTAGAGACCCATGGTGTCTGGGCAGGGGCGGCTCTGTGTGCACTTCCCTGCAGCCCGTGTCTGAAAGTCTAGGAGCATTCGGGGAGCAAGAGCCAGCACTGAGAAATGCAAAGGACAGCAGAGTCCCTACAGATCTGCCCGCACCGACAGTCACTCAGCAGAACGATGCCGAAGGAAGGATGCCAGCAACACTCTAGGACCAGAAGACATCCCATCCCCACAACCCACTTCCTCCTCTTCCTCCCTCCAGAGCTCCTGAAGCTGTTCTTCCCTCCCAGCAGTGTTAGCAGGAGCTGCTCACAAAGGGTCTTTAACAGGAGTGGCACCAGCCCCACTCTACAGGTAAACACAGGGCTCACTCTGGACCAGTCACTCCTACACTCAGTCTTTCCTGGTGGGTTTTTGTTTTGACCAAAGGCAGAGGATCTGCCAGTGGATGAGGAATTTAAGCCTTATTCCCACTGAATGACACAGACTCCCAACACGGAACAGAAGCCAGCACTAGAGGATGAGATGACGGAGGCTGCCCATCCTGAGGGTGCTGAAGGGGACCCAGCTACAGGGCCGTTGTGTCTGCATCACTGGGACAAAGAGGTGCCTCCTCATGGGAAGGTAACCTCATACTCAGAATTCCTGGCCCTCAGTACACTCCTTGGCCAACGCGTCAGACGGGGCAGCAAACCTCACCTCGTCTCAAGGCATTCTGGGCATCTTGAGTCATGGCGTCAGCTTCGTCCAGGATCACAAGCTTAAACCCTTTCCTAGGAGAACAAAGGCATGTGGGGGCTCCTCAGCTTCCTCATATCACGCTGAGCCCCCACCTTCACACTCGGGCTACCGCAAGTCTGTTTTTCTCAGACCCCGCTGAAGGCTGATCCCTGCGTTCACACCTGCCTATCTTGCTTTCATCCCTAAGAAGTGACGGTAATTCCCGCCCTGAGTTGTTAGTCCTCCATATAGGACTTTACTGTCAGCTGCTCGCTTGTGGAGCAGAACTGGAACCCAGGGATGTGAGTAGGGCAAACACAAACATTCCCAGGGCTACACAAACCCCCAAGCTTATTTATTCTGTGTGTGCAAGTGCCACATCACATCACAAATATGGAGGACGTCAGGAGGTCATAGGATGACCTGAGGGAATCAGTTCTCCGCTTCCCCATGTGGGTCCTAGGAATCGAACTTGGGTCATCAGGCTCGAAGGCACTGCTGTAGCTCACTGAACCATGTCACCGCCCTCTTCCTTGTCTAATTGACCTCCATGTCAGCCATCCTTCCCGACCTCTATTATCCCTGTGTAAGTTCAGACCAGCTCGTCCAGTATCAGATGTGACTCCCAGCTGAGGACCCACATGGAGCCAAGGCTCGTGGAATCTTCTGTCCCAATGTCCCCACCTCTCAAACCACCGGAGTCGTCCCTGCTTCTGACCAAGCCTTCCCTCCTTCCCTTTACACCAGCCAAGGGGGACCAAACAGTGAAGCTGTGTCCTAGCCCTGCACTAAGACCTGGAGGGAGAGAAAGTCTACAAATTGTTCTTACTTGAAGATTGTCCTTGTGCTGGCAAAACTGAGGATTGGCCCCCGGACAATATCGATTCCTCGGTCGTCGGAAGCATTCAGCTACATGAGGAAAAGAGGATGCCATGACAACCACATCCCATGCCAGCTACAAGCTCATGGCTCGAAAGTGTCATTCAGGACTAATGGCAGCTAAGATACAATCAACAAAACTAATGCTCTGTGCTCAGCCTCACACCACCATCACATAACACCCTAAAAGGCACTCAAGCCTCGTCTCATCTTTCAAGGGTCACCCACATAAATGTAGGAAATAAACATAGGGCCTTGTGGCCCTGAACCAGCACCTCTGCCATGAGCAGTTGCCGCTAATTTTAGTTCTCACAGCCTGGAGGCTGCTGTGCTTTGACTAAGCCAAAGAAAGAATTCCAGACAACAAGGAGCTGAGCCTCAGATCTAATGCCTAAGTCAAATGCTTTTCTTGAGGGTTTTTGTATTCAAGTTGGCCTTGAACTCACATAGCCTAAGGTGACTGTGAACTTCTGACCTGCCTGCCTCCACTTCCTGAGTGCTGGGATCATAGGTGTACAACCTGTTTATTAGGCTGGGATCAAACCCAGGACTCTGTGTGTGGTAGGTGAGCACCCTACCAAGTGAGCCACATCTGCAGTCCCTCAAATGCTTTTCTTTCAAATATGACATTGAGGCTTTTGTAACCTAAGGGTATCAAGGTTGTCAGCCAGGGTCCCAACAATCCATAGATGGCCCGTCCCAGTGCAGTAATCTGAAAAGATCCAGATGAAGAGACATTTAGAGCAGTGGTTCTCAACCTGTGGGTCTTGACCCCTTGGGGAGTTGAACGACCCTTTCACGGGGGTTGCCCAAGACCATCAAAAACCAGTTAACTGTCCTGCAATTCCTAACAGTAGCAAAATTACAATCATGAAGTAGCAATGAGCATACTTATATAGTCGGGGGTCACCACATCATAACAAAGAGTATCAAAGGGTCGCAGCATTAGGAAGGTTGAGAACCACCGGCCTAGAGAAACTAGAGGAATATGCAGCATTCATTATCACCTCTAAACCTGAAGGGGTTCAACAAGAGCTGCGGGCAGGTAGAGCAGGCTGTGGGGAGGGTGCAACCTCTAATTGGGCCCCCAGAAAGCAGAGGCTGCCAGGTGTTAATGCCCTAGCAAGTCCAAGCAAGATCCTCATATTATACACACACACACACACACACACACACACACACACACACACACACACACACAAGATCCCATTGGCCAAACCTAACCAGGACCCAGAAGGTCAGGTCAGGGAGTAAAAGAAGGCCAAAGGTAAGCACCCAAAGGTCTGAGCTGTTGTGGAATGAGAGTGCCTTCCTCACCTCCAAGACCATGGAGCCGAATTCTTTATCTTTGTACAGTTGCTTGGCACAGGCCAGGATGGTGGATGTCTTTCCTGTCCCTGGGGGGCCATAGAGAAGTAGGTGTGGCAGGCGGTCTTCACTGATGAACTTCTGAACTGAGGGACAGGAGGAGGAGACACACGTCAGTCTCTGGGTCCTGCACGCTCACCTTAGGACCTGTTTACACTAGATCCAGATGTGCTTCAGTTCTTCAGTGTCCCAGTTGGAGTAGACGGGGAGGGGAAGTCCTGAACTCACACCACAGTTTGTCTGTCTGTCTATCTTCCACACTAGCTATCTCGGGAGGGTCTATTAAGTTGAGAGCAGTGGTTCTCAACCTGTGGGTCCTGTGGGTCGCGCCCCTTTTAGGAACCACATATCACACACACATGCTGCATATCAGATATTCACATTACAATTTGTAACACTAGCAAAATTCCATTTATTAAGTAGCAATGAAAATAACTTTATGGTTGGGGGTCACCACAACATGAGGAACTGTATTAAAAGGGCCACATCTTTAGGAAGGTTGAGAGCCACTGGTTCAGAGGCACAGCCTCATTGGAGGGATCAGGTCACCAAAGGCATGCCTTTGCGGGTCATACTGCGGCCCCTCCCCCCCAGCCCCTTAGCCCTCTACTTTCTGTCCACTTTGGAGCAGAGTGCTCCCACTGCCATGAAGTGGTGCTCAACAAGGGTCTAGAGTCAACAGAGCCAAGCAGTGTAGACCAAAAGCTCTGAACCCATATGGCAAAGATCAGCCATCCCTCTAAATTGTCTTGTTGGAGGATGGGGGAATTGGAAAGGTGCCTCAGTTCTTGCAGAGCACATGGGTTTGGTTCCTAGCACCTACACAGGAGCTCCCAATTGCCTACAACTCCAGTTCCAGAGGAGCCAGGGCCCTCTTCTGGCCTCCAGAGGAACCAGGCACACATGGTGCACACACTGACACATGTAAACAAAACACCTAAGCAATAAAAACAAACAGAACTTTAAAAATGTGTCCTCTTAGACATTCTGGTACACTATGAGGAGGAAACATACAGCCCATTCTATAAAGCGCAGCCCATCCTCTACGGGTCACCCAGAAGAGACAGCATCACCATGAAATGGACCCAAACCCTCTGCAAGGACAACAGCAACAGACAGATACTCACTGGTACTCAGAATGTCCTGGTGAGAAATGAGGTCATCCAGGGTCTGTGGCCGGTACTTCTCAACCCTGAAATAGGATTCACCATGCGTTATGATGTATACGCAAACTGTGTTACACGCAAAGAATCCCCAGTCACATCCTAAGCAGCAGAGGAAGAGAAACCCTTCACATCTGAATAGAGCCACTGGCTCTCATAACCCAGAGTTGTTCTGTCTCCCAGGGGACATCTGTCAGGCCGGTTAGCTGTTGTAACTGTGCAGAGGGCGTCGGTGGCATCTGTTGAGTAGTAGGAGGCAGGAGGTTGCTGAACATCCTCCAGTAGGCAGGATAGCTCCCTGTTACCCTACACCAACGTGGGGCCCCCAAGTCAACAGCGCTGAGACTGCGCAAACGGAACTCATATTCAAATATCCGCAAGCAAGTAAGCGGGCAATTGCACTGATAATTTGGCTTTCAAGCGGGAACCGAGTGCTGAACCATGCGACAGCACGGAACAACCTTGAGTTCGAGACTCAAAAGACCACACGGTCTGTGACTCCACTCCTCAGAATTGAACGTGTGACCCAAGACGATTCTTCCTCCTCAGTATGGGCCAGAAAAAGTGAAAAGAAAGCATGGCTAAGTGTTTATTTAAAACACCGCTAAGCTGTTGTTGTGCCGTTCAGAATGCAAACTCTGGGGCCCTGGGTTCGATCCCGGGCCCATGTCAATAGAAGGAAAGAACTGAGTCCTGCAAGGTGTCCTCTGACCGCCACCAGGATGCGCTGCTACGGTCCCCCCACCACCACCACAAATAAGGGGAAAAGAATGCGAGCGCTGAATTCGGACACGAGTTCGAATCCAAGCCTACCCACTCCTCCGGTCTCTGAACCTTTCTAAAGAAACCCAGGATCGATCTGTTCGGGTCATCAGAGCTCAGCGGCGATGCTCGAGGCACCCGAGGATGCTAGGCTGAGCTCAGAGGGGCGACTGCGGCGCCAAGGCCGGGTGTCGGGCCGGGAGCGGGAGGGCGATCTGCAAAGCTCCTAGGAAGAAGAGCGGGAAGCAGGATGCGGGGCCGTTCCTACCAGGGCAGGTTCCGGGCCCGGGCCGCCGCGGGCCGCTGCTGCGAAGGCGCCGCCGCCATGACTGACAGATGCTGCGGGGCCCGGCCACCGACCCGCGGCACTCGGAGTCCGCGCGCAAACCAACCCTCGCGAGGCTTCGCCTCCGACTTCCGGCTTCCGGCCGCCGGTCCGCCGCCTCCCCGTTGCTAAGGTGCTGTTGCTAGGTAACCCGAGGCGCCGGCCTGCAGCCGGGTTACCGCCTGAGCCCGATGTCTCAACCTCGCACGAGCTTCAGGGAGACCTGCGCGCTGCAGCCAGCGCCACCGCGGGCCTCACCAGGGCCGGATCCTGTCAGCGCAGGGGCAAGCCGCAAAGGAGCAGCAAGTTCCAGAGCCAGAAACAGTTCCGTGGCTGGGGTGTGGTCAGAGCACCCTCGGTTACATAACCAGCAACACACACACGCGCGCGCACACACACACAGACACACACGTAAGGACGTATACACACAGGTATACTGACAGTTATATATACAAACATACATATGCAAACATCCACATACATATACACTCACACTTACATGTAATCACATATATGCTTGCGCTCACGTATGTAGATATACATACACACATATGTATACACCAATACATAGTTAATATGCACACATACACACATACATACATACATATATACTCACGTTCATATACATGTATATCATACATATACACATACAGCATACACATCCAGACATATATACACATGAATACAGTTATATATACACATACATGCATACATATAACACATTCATATAAATACACACACATACAGACATCTGTGTTTTATACACACACATTTTCTCCTACAGTGAGAGAATTACAGACCAATTATATATATATATATTTTTTTTTTTTTTTTGAGACAGGGTTTCTCTCTGTAGCTTTGGCTGTCCTGGAACTCACTCTGTAGACCAGGCTGGCCTCGAACTCAGGGATCCACCTATCCACCTGCCTCTACCTCCCAAGTGCTGGGATTAAAGGTGTGAGCCACCACTGCCTGGTGAATTATTTTCATCTTTAAATTTTATTTTGAGCCAGGTATTATTATAATTATTATAATATTATTTTGAGCCTTCAATTCTAGTCCTTGGGAGGCAGAGGCAGGTGGATCTAGGTGAGCTCAAGGTCTACAGAGTGGGTTTTGGAAAAGCCAGAGCTACATAGTGAGACCCTGTCTTCAAAAATCAAAAGAAAATTTTAATTAATTTGTGTGTGCCATGATGAATACGTGGAGGCCAAAGGACAATTTTCAGGAGTTGGTCTTCTTTTTTACGTGTGGGTCCTAGGACCGAACTTAGCAGTCAAGCTTGGCCGCAAGTGCCTTTCTCCAGTGCGCCATCTTGATAACCCAACTTTCAGCCATCTTGATAGCCCAACTCCTACCATTTTTGCTGCTATCTTCCATAAAGAGTATTTTTAACATCCACAATAAAATATTGATTATTATTGTTCACTTGCTCTTGTTTTGAGACAGGGTCTGGTTTTGTAGCAGAGACTGACCTGGAGTTGACTAGGACTTCCTGTCTCAGGTCTTCCAACTCCAGGAACTAAAGAGCCTGAAGATACCATCACAATGAACAGGATAAAGACACCAGAACAGCCGAGGCTGCAAGGGGGGGGGCAACATTGGGTTGGGAGGCAGATACTAACCACTGTCACCTGCTGGGGCCCACCTGACCCATGCCTGGGACCCAGGTGCAGGGGCTCAGGGCTGCAGGGTGTGGCTCAGTTGTCAGAGTGCTTGTCTGGTGTGCTCAGAGCCCTAGGCTTGGGCCCCCGGCAACCCAGAAACCAGGCATGGTATTATGTGCCCTTTAGGCCAAGTATGTGAGGTGCAGACAGGAGCATCAGAATTACAAGGTCATCCTTGACTGCATATCCAATTCGTGGCCAGCCTGGTGGTGTGCTTAACTCCCCTTGGAGCCAAGCAGCCGCCATCTTGGAGAGTTCATCTGTGTCCACTTACAAAGGAATGACCCCAGCTGGATCTTTTGACCGTTTACATCCCCTCATGGAAGACCCTCACCTGAGTATCCAGTGGCTCCCTACAATTTACTGTGTGCAACTCCGCCTCAATTGTACATGGCTTGACTGGAGGGCAGATGGGGAGGGGGTGGCTAGAGTATTCAGACTTTTAAGAAAGACTATGAGAGAGGTCTCTATCTATGTAGCTATGGGAAAATCCTGACCCTGCTGGCCAAATCCTTTCTGGTTCCATCTCTGGAGGAAGGAGCACCCACTCTCCCTGTAGGCACCCCTCACCTATGCACCATAAGGAAGCCCAATAAATTCATTGGTTACCTGAGTAAACTTTGGCAGTGGAATCATGCCTCGGTTTGTCATTGGAATCTTGGAGGAGGAGGAGGAGGCATTGCTTATATGCCCAGTGACACACCTTCACCAACATGGCCACACTGAAATGGAAATTTCTAGTTTCTTTGGAAAGTCAGTTATGTCAAAATGATGGTTTGCCGGGGCACACAGTTGAAGGGATGTCAGACTATGATTCAACTTGTGAGTTTTCCTCTTCATGATGGGTTTGTAGGGGTGGGGGGAGGGTGGGAGGTTACTGCTTCTGGGAGGCCAAGCCCGAATCACGTGACAGGGAGTACCTGCTGGTCAGCCACACTGTCATTTAGGAGGGCTCTGGATTCATTGCTTGCAGAGAGAAAATAGTTTTGTTTTGTTTAAGCTTAGTTTGGTTTTTAGCACGCAGGCGCACAGGCGTGTGTGTGTGTGTGTGTGTGTGTGTGTGTGTACATGCAGACTCTCTCACTGCTGTATGTATACGGGCCAGAGGTTGGCAGATGAGACTGAGTGCCCCGTTTTGTCTCTTCTCTTCCTTGAAGTTGTTCAGGAAGTTGTAGAGAAAAATATTGGAGGAGGGGCTTAGATTCGTTGGTGGTTTTTGCAGTCCGGTGGAAGAGGTGTCTTTTGTTGGTTGGTATAGCTCTGGTCTGCAACGACCAAAAGGCCTGCGTGTTTGGTTTGGTCTCCCTCCGGCTTGGTACTATCAAGAGGTTGGAACCTTTGAGGGGTGGGGCCTGGTGGGCGGTCTTTGGGTCATTGGCGGGTGCACCCTTTAAGGGGATTGTGAGAACTGAAGCTCTTCCAGAATCTCTATTCACTTCATGTCTACCATGGAACGAACCGCTTCCCCCGCCATGTGTTCCGACCATGATGTTCTGTCTCGCCACAGGCTCAACAGGCTCAAAAGTGGTAGCACCAGCCTATCATAGGATGCCCGCAAAACTGTGAGCCACAGAAGGTGCTCTTTATAAACTGATTATCTCAGGTGTCATGGTATACAGTAACACACGCACACACAATCTCTCTGAATATCAACAGTTCCATTTTTGTTTTTTGTTTTTTTCCTCTCAGCTTGTAACTCAGACTCATGACAACCCAGAATTTTCATTGTTACTCCAATACCACACAATTAGTTTGGGTTTCTCCCAGAGCTAAATAGAGACGAAATGTCAGTTACACTTGGCTGAGAGCATCTCAGAAGTGGGGCCTGAGTCCTAGGATTTTTCTGTGGATAGGGTTTCTGGGCTCTCGCTCTCGCTCTC